TCTTTCGAGGAGGAGGTGGGAAAGACAACAAACTAAACACCTAACAAGTTTCAAAGAAACGAGCTTTAATCTAATGGCTTCTTAGTACATGCTGTCCTCGACTTACAAACATACCGACTTACGAATTCACCGACTTACGAACGCCCACACTTATGAACACATCGACTTACAAACACCCCCGACTTACGGACACACCAACTTACGAACGCCCGCACTTATGTGGTTGGGGATGACGGGTTTGCCTACCGTATTTCCTCCGCATGTGCGACTAATAGAGAGGAGGGGGGGGGGAGGCAGGAGATACGTAAGTCGTAGGGGTTGTGAGGATGCTGGTTCTTCTGTCCCAGCTCGCGTGCGGTCATCGGCCGGATTCAGCCATAAGCTGAGTAAGCCATAGCGTAGCGCCTCGCATTGTGCGGGGAGGGAGGGGGGGGGCTCTAAATGCGATCGCCTTCTATCGGCCCGGGTGTAAATGAGTTACAGATCAGCAGAGTCAGCCAATGGCGTGGCCTGGATGCCACGGGGCCCGGTGCAATGTGGGGGACAATGTGGGGTCCCCCCTGTCCAAGTCTACTGGACATCAGTGGAAAAGAGCTTCATAGCTCATAAGATTCCTCCAGAATAAATTTAAAAAATCTGATCTTGACACTCAATCAATTTCGCCTCTCCATAGACCCCGGCGGCGCCTGACCCCCCCCCCACCCCCCTTCCGGTGCAGTTGCACCACCTGCACACTCGATAGCAACGCCACACTGAGATGTAGGAGCCTCTTACGGGGTCGACGTCCGGCGGTTCATGTCGCGGCCGTGCGTTCCCCTGGCCTCCCCCCCCCCCCACTGAGCCCGGCGCTGGTAGCCCCAGGCAGGCGTTGAAGCCCGGCAGATGCTCTGCCGGTCCCCGCGTCTCGAGGAGCGCGATCGTCTAGTCGGCCGCGCGCGAGGAGAGCTCCCCAAGCCGCCACCGTAGTGGCCGCGCCGGGCGGTCGTGGCTTTGCAAATTGTGCCCGGATGAATCGGCGTTGATTGCGAGCGGCGATTTCACCCGGCCGCCCCCCCCCCCACCTCCTCCTCGCCGCACCCCCCACCACCTGCGCCCCCCCCCCGCCACCCCCGCCTCCGCCTCCATCAATTTCGCTAATTTGGTTTGCGCGCTCGTAATCCGAACGCATCACCACGCGGAAAGGGACGGAGACTCTCAGCCCCGCAACGCTTCCTCTCTTACCCCCCCATCCCCCTCCCGCTGCAACCCCCCCCCCCCCCTCCGCCAAAATGTATGAAAATCTGCATGGCGTTATTCTTGTGCTGGCCCTGAGGGGCACGGCGGTTGTCGTTGGCGTGCGTGATGCGCGGAATTACAATTGGGGGGGGGGGGTGAAGAGGGGGGGGGGGCGCTGGCAATGCCTCTCACGACTGTGGGTTGGGGGGCGTGGGTTGACATTTCCCTTCGCCCCAAAGCGTTAGTCTGACCGCGGGCCACGTGTGCGCGTGCGTGCGCGCCGGGCGCAGATCGTTTTCTGAAAACAAAAAGCCATCATAAATACTGGTGTAGCCGACGGCTGGACGTTACTCCGTAATAAACACAATACCATGAATTGCACAGTGCTGGCGTGTGTTAGGGCTGCAGCTAGAATTACGACGGCTAGAATTACAAAACCACCGGAGGAGGAGGAGGTGGATGAGGAGTTCAATACGAGCAAGTCCCCATTCACGCAAGAAAGAGACAAGCGTTTCCCTCGCCCCTCGCACGTGCCCCAGACTTCTCCTGGCATCGCGGATTTCCATCGCACTGCACCGCCACGCACGGCGCGATACTCCGTGAAGGAACCGGCGAAAATCCGTCTCGCGTGCGGCATGGTGGCGGCGAGGGGGGGGGGGCTCGAGGTCGGGATCGTCGGCCGTGACGCGTCGCATCTGCTGCATCGCGCCCTCCGGCCGGAGGCAGCCAACAACCGATTGTCGCGGTCTTTGAAAGTAAATATGTAATACATGGCCACACACACACGGGGAGGGAGGGGACAAATTTGACAAAATAAAGCGGATTTTATTTTTTAATATTGCTTTATATTTGTTTGGGGTTGTTGAAATCTTATGGATTTGTATGAAAAGCGATGGAACGAAAAAATGTATCAAAAAAAATATATAATATAGTTTTCACTCACACGTACTGGCAGTCCAAATGACCGAGAGGGACAATGCCACAAAGACGACGGAATAGCATTTTCAGAATCTATCTATTTATTATTTTACCGCGATAAGGCCCCACCGAACTACGTAGCTCTTTGTCAGAAGCGACCTAGCCATCACAAATGATAGCTCAACGAAGTGGCCAGTCATCACGTGGACATTTAGAGCAGCAGCCAAATTACTCTGATCGCGCGTTCAGTCTTCAAAGTGGAGGGGGGGAAAAACCCTGGAGGATGCGTAGAAAAAGCCACGCGAACATCGCGAAATAAACATTGCAAACTCCAAATTAAAAATAAATACATTTAAATCAGACGTTGTTCTTGTCGGGATGTGCTTTTGCGATACGTGCGAACGTGGGATGCCGAAGCCGCTCGCGCTAACCTGGCAACGTCTTCGTATTCTTAATTCACGTGGCCCGAGATGGCATTGCGAGCTGGGTAATGTTTACGCAGTTCTCAAGCGGGGCTATCAGCTGACAACTATTTTTTAGGGGCATCTGTTCCTACAGCCTGCTGGCAAGGCGGGCACGTCGCTGGCGATGGTCGACCAGTTTGTCCCACCACGTCGCATCCATTAGATCACTGGCATAGCTTGGCTGACAAGGGCCCTGGTGGAAGGGAGTAACTGATGTCTGTGTTGGTGGGGGGGGGGGTCCCTGTCCTGATTTCCCCGCTCCTCTTCCCCACAGCGCAGGGTACACGAACCCACCACCCAGTGCACGTGTTCTGGGGGCTGTCGCGTGGCCGTGTCCGCTCGAGTGACTGCGGCGCCCCCCTCCCCCCAATCCCTTCACCCCCTTTTCTTCCACGCGTGACATTGCTGGAGGCGCATCTTTTGGTGCGAATGCTGTGCGTTTACGAATGGAGCCAAAAATTTGAGATGCTTTTGTAAAGAAAAAGGAACGACGCGCGTGTTTTAATAAAAAAAAAACAAAGGCCACGGGCATTCACGCCTGCTCCTCAACCCCCTCCTCTCCGTGTTTTGCACAGAGCAGACGAATGTGAAAGTAATCGATAGATTATTCCATAAAATGGGTAGCGTCAAGTCGGTCCGTACGGCCGCATGTTTTTTTTTTACTCACTCCAGCGCATCTCAAACGGATGATGCGTGCGTTCATGCGTGGATTTTCAGAAGATGTTATTTACCGCCGTGTGCGAATGTGGATACTATTACACCCGGCCCATGGAAACCGAGACGTTTTTATTTACGTGTGCGAAAAACAACAATAACTACTCTTGCAGCGGGTAAAAAAAATAAAAAAGAGATGTAAATATATTAAACGGTGAGCGGCTATAACATGCAGACCGGCGGAATGAAGTGTACATTCTGATCTCATTTGAAGTATTTTGTCGTCCTGAGAAATGAGACTCCACACCGCCAGGGGAATGACTACATTTTGAGCCTCGGAGAAGATTGTAGAATTATTTTCCAGCTTAGTGGTGCATAAGCCGCTGCAGGCCGCGTACTCTTGACGTGTAATGAAACACGCATTAGGCCTATGCATGGCAGTGCTTCTCGCGTGATTTATAAACATAGCGGGGGGGGGGGGAGTTGGTGGGTAGCGGAGTAAAACAGAGTAGCAAATAAATCAAGGATATAAATGCATTTTAGGCTGAGCGGTTTTATAACGGAAGAAGAAATTTACATTGTCATTTTTGTTGTTTTCAAATTAACTTTTCACAAACAGTGGCACGATGGGGTTCGCGTTGAAACCCGGCCACCCGAGTTCGATTCCCGGCCATGGCTAACATCGGTGGCGAGTATCTCACCAGGCACTTTCTTGGTTCTTTCGGTAAAGTCACGTAGAAGGGAAATAATAAAATAATAAAAATAAAACATAATAAAATACAATTCTCACGACGTTTCGGCCACAACGCAAGCAGCCGTCCTCAGGTGAAGAACAGGTCTGTCGGAAAGACAGCGTCTGAATGAACACCACCAAGCTTGGCAACGTATATTTAAGCTGGGTTAGGGGAGGAAGGGCGCCTTGACAAAGGAATTTGCATATGAACTTGGTGGTGTTCATTCAGACGCTGTCTTTCCGACAGACCTGTTCTTCACCTGAGGACGGCTGCTTGCGTTGTGGCCGAAACGTCGTGAGAATTGTATTTTATTAAGTTTATTTTTATTATTTCATTATTTCCCTTCTACGTGACTTTTCCGAAAGAACCAAGAAGATGAATCCCTGCAGTCACGAAAGCTTTAAATCGAAATCTAACCAGGCACTGTGGCTCATCAGCCCGCCCTGACCCAGCGCGGTGAAATATGGGCAAATAACTCCCGCGCCACCACCCATTAACAAAAACACACCCAATGTTTTAACAGGTAAGGCCCCACTGAGCTATGTAGATCGTTCTCAGAAGCGACTTGGCCACAAATGATAACTCAACGAAATTGCTCATAATGAGGACATTTATAGCAGCCAAAATACACGAAACGCATGGTGATTGCAAAATGTGGAGGGAAAAACCGGAGGATGCGGAGAAAAATCTACACGACCACGGGGAGAGATAAAGACGTGCAAACTCCACATATACAGCAGGCGTCAGGGTCGGGATCGAACCCACGACCTTCCTGCATACCAGGCGAGAGAGTTTACATTTCCGAGCCACTAAATTTCGATTTAAAGCTTTCGTGACTGCAGGGATTCATATTCTTGGTTCTTTCGGTAAAGTCGCGTAGAAGGGAAATAATAAAATAATAAAAACATAATAAAACATAATAAAATGAAATTCTCACAACGTTTCGGCCACAACGCAAGAAGCCGTGGCCGAAACGTCGTGAGCATTTCATTTTATTATGTTTTATATTTGTATTATTTTATTATTTCCCTTCTACGTGACTTTACCGAAAGAACCAAGAATATGAATCCTAGCCACTACTGAGGTGTGAACCACCGTGCGTAGTCCATCACTGATGGCTTGCCCAATACACCAACGTGCATTCACGTGGAACGTGTGGACCCCATTCAGCAACCACCTTGTCTGTCCGCATTAATCTTTAAAGCCCCCTTTTTGAGCACGTAAAAAAAAAAACTGCCTTTCCCAGCAGTGAAATTTACAGTGGGCTTCAAGTTTTAAGATTAAACATTCGAAATAGCTCGCGGTTATTGTGCCAACCATTAAAATGCATATAAATATATATTGACGTGCAAAGTCTTGGTGTATGACCTCGAATCAATGCCACCATTCCACGTCAGGTACGGGTGATTAAATCCATCGCACTTGGGATTCAAAGTGTAATACATTTCGGGTGCCTTCCCCCACGCTGTTGGGATTTACACGGTACAAAGTGGGTGAAGTAGCAGCCCCTTGCGAATTGTGCTTGCGCACGCCGCCGCTGGCAGGATGGGCCCTCTAGAGCAGTGGATATTCTTCTTCTTAACCGGTGGGTGCACGCAACCCCCAGGGGTACGAGACGCCCTTTCTGGGGGTGCGAGACATGGCCAGATTTTTGTTGTTTGAAGGTCAATCATCGACAACGCAAATTCCGCACGGGCACGTAAGTACGATGACTTTGTTTCATTAAACCCTGCGCATCTATTGACATAAAATAAATTACTATTGAGAACCAAAGAGGTGAAGAATCACTGCTGTAGAGGAAGGCGTGGGGGGGGGGGGGTACTTTGGCCTGCTCTTTCACGATAGCCAGACGTCTTTGGGGGGGGGGGGGTGGTGGGAGTCCTCCAGACGTGACCGCCACCGCACGCGACCTGACCACGAACATCGGTGGGTGGAAACAGAGGCACTGGGCCGGATTTTGTGTGTCCCTGCACGTACGTTAAAACTTATTTCGCCCCGTGCGTCGCACAAACGAGGTGCGGACGCTTGCCACAGTCGTCTTTCAACATGCCGCGCCGGGAGATCGCACCGTCGGCCGCCCGGATTGCAAGTCCGTTGTGCGAACCATTCCGCTCTGGCATCAGCAGCATCCCTCTAGACTTGAATATCTGCCAAATATGAACAGAACGCATGACAACAACAATTTCTTGTTGACTTTTCGAATTTTTGTTGTTGTTGATAAATTCCACAATTAAGCTCGGAACATTAATCTAAATGTTTGCAAGGCACTTACATTTAATTACAATTTCCATCTATATTTATTATGTCAAATCTCCCCCACCTCGCCCCCCTCCCTCTCCACACCACCCATTGTTTCATTACATTCGACGACTGCTTCTGTACAAAGCCGCTTTTGCAACACGAACACATTTTGCAATTGATGGTTGAATGTGAATAAGTCAAATTCACTTTCGCCTCACTGTATAGAGAGCAATTTAGATCGAATCTACAGGTTATAGATGTGCTTCGGTCACAAAGCATTGCTCATGATGGGTTTAACACTGGCATCATTTAGTAATAGGTTTTTACCCTTTCAACTGGTACAAAAACTGACACCTTTATACAAGGCATCATGTTTGCAATAACCACAACACAAGCAGTCAAAATGCAAAAAAAAAGAAACAACTCTGATGATGATAATGATATGCACTGTCCTTGAAGTTGATTGGTCCACACCCGAGACAGCTTTTCTTAGAGCCTAGTCTCCATTGGTGTTGGACCAGATGACGCCAAAAGGCGTGGCATCATTCCTGCTATCATCGTCAGCCATGGTCAGTCCACTGCTGGATGGAGCCCTCCGCAAGCTGCCGCCAGCGCGACGTAGCGATCCCTTTGAGCTCTTGCGCGTCAGCCGATCTCGCGGCTCCATCTCCGCAGTGGAGGTCCTCTCGAATGCGTCCCATTACTCGGCTGCCACTCTGTTGTTGTTGGGGTGCTGCAGTGGCTAGGAGATGTTAACTACCTCGCCTGGTACACAGGAGGTCGTGGGTTTGATCCCGACCCTGACGCCTGCTGCTGTATATTTGGAGTTTGTGTGTCCCTCTCTTATCATCATCACGGTGGCTAGGAGATGTTAACTACCTCGCCTGGTACACAGGATGTCGTGGGTTTGATCCCGACCCTGACGCCTGCTGCTGTATATTTGGTGTTTGTGTGTCTCTCTCCACGTGGTCGCGTGTTTTTTTTTCCGGGCCCTCCAGTTTTTCCTTCCACATTTAGAACCAGCATATTATCTGGATGCTATAAATTTATATGCGATAAGCCACTTCGTTGAGCTATCATTTGTCATGGCCAGGGTCGCTTCTGGAAAAAAAAATCTTGTCGGCAGCTCAGTGGGCCTTGCCTGGTAAGATGAAATAAAAATGTACGCGTGTTTTAGTTGTATTCATTACGACAAGCGTGTAATCGTGTTTCTTTCCATAGGAGGCACCGTAACTGGAAATTACCGACGAGTGTGTGAAACTCCTTGTTGAACATACTCTTTGGTTCTTTCGGTAAAGTCACGTAGATATAAAATAAAATAAATTAAATCACGACGTTTCGGGCGCAACGCAAGCGTCCGTCATCAGGTGGGACAACCACTTCAAGAAACAATTGCTGAAGTGGGCAAAAGGGCTGCTGTGACAAGAGGCTATATAGATTAGAGAGCCCCAAAGATTCCAGTAGATTTTTTTCTTTTTTAGATTTCCCACTGTCAGCATGGATGCCACCACGACCACCACCACGCTGGAATAGACAGCACCATGGGCTTGCAATTCAGAGATTGTCCGGTTCAAATCTCTCGGCGCGAGAGTTAAAACCACGGAGCAAGCTGCTTGAATCCCCCACTCCCCCTGCTTTATCCATCCAGCAGTGAAAATGTGTACTGAACACCTACCACCAAGTCAGTCGATCGGAAGGTGGTGGGGCAAATGCGTGGGTGCCCTCCGAGGTGTTTGGCCAGCGTGGTAGATAAAGTAGGCCAAGTACACACGGTAGAGGGGTCCTCTAGAGTGGGTCTCGCGCAGGGCCCATTCCTGCCAGCAGTGGCATGAGCAAGCGATCACAGAGCAGCGCGTTTTTGGCTCTCAGCATTCTGTTACTGGGCGGTGACAATTTCGATTTCTGTGTATTGCCACTGGCGCTGGGCTAATAAATGACCACAAGCGAGTTCTGACAGGCAACACACACAGAGACACACAAAGACACCCCCCCCCCTCCGTATTTTGCCGTAAAGACTAGTTGGGGCAAGTGCCCCACCACGTAGTTTACACACCAGACCAGGAAGTCATTTGAGGTTGAGTCGACCTAGGTGTTAGACCCAGGATATGTTCAGATATTCGCCACAATGTTTCTGTTCGCGAGCGAGAATAGGTTCATAGCACAGTGGGCTAACCACTCCACTTGCACTACCATACACGTACAAAGATCCCCGTATAGTCTTAACAGACTATTAACTAGCACCTATGAAGTCCACCACGGCATAAGATCCTTTGTCACCTGAGTGACCATATTTACACACCGCACCAGGTGCTCATTTGAGGTTAAGTCGACCTAGGGGAGGTGCCAGGTCCGGTTCAGATAATCGTCACTGGTGTTGACCGTGAGCGGGAATCGAACTCGGGTCGCCGGGTTCATAGCTCAGTGCGCTAACCACTGCAGACACACATAGAAAGATCACCCGTATAGCCTGGTCAGACTGCTGGGGCAAGTGCTCTTAAGCGAGCACCTATAAAGGCCGGCACGACACACGAGGGGGTGGGTGGCCAGCACCACGCACGGCCGCCTTTGTCTCCCCAGTGGCGATAATTGTACATAAACGCACCAGGTATTCATTTGAGGCTGAGTCGACCTAGGGGAGGCCCAGGGCCGGTTCAGATAATCGTCACTGATGTTAGCCGTGAGCGGGAATCGAACTCGGGTCGCCAGGTCCGTAGCGCAGCGCGCTAACCGCTACACCACCGCTCCTACACACAAATACAAAGACACGCGCACGCACACACACACACGCACACACACAAGTAAACACAACCCCATCACGTGCGTTTGACCCACAACTTTGACCGACAGCGGGTATAATAAACAAGGCCGTTACTCTTAAACAGCCTCAACTTAGCAACAACAACAACAACCAACAACAACTTGTCCCGCAGACATCATGCTTAATGACGTACCTGTTACAATTCCGTGTTCTTCTCTAAGAACAGAATTCGTTTTTGTTTATAAATCCCATCCCCAAAGGCACCCGTGGGTTTTTCATCACAGATTCCCCGCGCACTCTCTGTTGCCTCTGGTGCCAGAGCATCATCAGCAACGTTACATTTTCCAAGGATAACATCTATTACATTTGTTTTATTTATTTCATTCCCACCCCACTCCCTCCCTCAAGCAGGAATAAATACACAGCCCCAGCAACGGTGTTTGTGCCGTGACCTGCAACGAACTCTGGCAACACAGCTGTTTCCTTAAGCAGGAATAACAACAATAACATATTCTTGGTCTTTCGGTAAAGTCACATAAAGGGAAATAATAAAATAATAAATATAAAACAATTAAATTCTCACGACGTTTCGATTGCAACACAAGCAATCATCATCGGGTGTGAAAACCACAGCAAGAAACGTCGTGAGAATTTTATTGTTTTATTTGTATTATTTTATTATTTCCCTTCTACGTTACTTTACCGAAAGGATCCAGGAATATGAATCCCTGCAGTCACGAAAGCTTTAAATCGAAACAACAACAACAACATAGCAACACAAGATAAAGGTGCAGCCCTGCAAGTGTTTGTTTTCTCTCACACCACCGCTGGTAGAAGGGTCTGTCCACTCCGAGGAGCGCTGGAGCGCAACGCCTCTTGTGTAGACGAGGCTGTGTTGGCCTACTCTTCCGGGATGGCAAGAGGTGGGAGTAACAACCACATGCCAACGTTTCCCCAACGTTGAGTCAACGTTGGGGAAACGGTTAAAACTCACATGCCAACGTTGGACCAACGTTGGGCCAACGGTTCCAACCACATGCCAACGTTGAGTCAACTTTGGGTCAACGGTTCAAACTCACATGCCAACGTTGAGCCAAAGTTGGGCCAACGGTTCCAACCCACATGCTAACGTTGAGCAAACGTTAGGCCATCGGTTCCGACCACATGCCAACGTTGAGCCAACGTTAGGCCAACATATGTATTATTTTCACAGGTGAACACAAACACCCGTTGGCCAATAAATGCACATCTCCGATGTGTCTGCACAATAGAAACCCGGCTATAGCAGCAGTAACAACAACAACAACAACAGACCAATATAATGAAACAACAATTATTGCACAGTCGAGTTCCGAATGGCCAAGCCTCACTGGGTCGTTCCACTTTACTCGTTACAATTGCCTCGCCGAATGATCGAATCAAACCCGGGGCCGACGTTGCAACTGCAGCGTGCTAGCGAGCGAGCGAACGCGCGATCATCACCGCACCGCTGTGGTGGCAGTAGCAGCAGCAGTAGCAGCGAGCCGCTGAGGTTTTTTTTCTGTCGGTATCGGAAGATGTTTCACCGATCGTTTAGCCTGTCAAGTTCAGTGGGCAGCTCCGGGGCAAGCGCACGACGCCTGAAGCAGAGGACGGCTCCTGTAATTGTGGTGATATTGACGAACACGGGCGTCTGAATCGGTGGGCCAGGGATGTTCCGTAAGCTAACCAGGACAATTAGATTCCAGGATGAGCCTCGAAGGTTGACGCGTGGAGTGAACCCCTCCCCCGCCACAGTGGCATCGTTCGGAAGCGTTTGTCCGGGCGAGAGGAAGGGATCGTGAGACAATAAGCCACGTCGGCCTTAGGAGTTCTATCGTTTGTTCAATGCTGCAATGTGTTGACGTGAAAATGTCTGTGCGTGTCTGTGTGTGTTGGGGGGGGGGGGGGGAGCGGTGGTGTAGAGGTCAGCGCGCTGCGTTACGAACCTGGCTACCCGGGTTCGATTCCCGCTCACGGCTAACAGCGGTGACGATTATCTGAACCGGTCCTGGGCCTCCCCTAGGTCGACTCCGCCTCAAATGAGTAGCTAGTGCGGTGTGTAAACATCGCCACGAGGGAGACAAAGGCGGCCGGGCGTGGTGTTGGCCACCCACCCCCTCGTGTGCCGTGCCGGCCTTCATAGGTGCTCGCTAGCAGCACTTGCCCCTACAGTCTGTTAAGGCTATACGGGGGATCTTTGTCTTTTTGTGTGCGTGCGTGTGTGGTTAGCGCCGTGCTACGAACCCGGCGACCCGGGTTCGATTCCTGCTCACGGGCAACACTAGTGACGATAATTATCTGAACCGGTCCTGGGCCTCCCCTAGGTCGACTCAGTGCCTGGTGCGGCGTGTAAACGATCAACATTGGGGATACAAAGGTGGTCGTGAAAAAACTCTAGCCCACACCCACCCCATAAGTGAGTCGTGTCGGCACCCTGAAAGGTGCTCGCGAGCAGCACTTGCCCCACGAGGCTGTCAAGGCTACACGGGGGACATTTGTCTTTGTTCAGCTTCGGCAAGAAATGCTCAAGGGACACGTGGCTTGAATGGTGGCAGCGAACAAGGGAACGCAGGGATAACAGTGAGAGATTTATGGATGTTGCTGGGGTCATTACAATGACTTTTAATATGCAGACCACTTGATGGACAACGAAGGGTAAGATTACAATGATTTGGTGTTAAATTGCATGTTGACCTACAGGCAAACAGAGCTCTCAATTATTCAATCGCGAGTTCAAATCCTGGCCAAGGTCACCCGAGGTCTGTGGTGGAATTTTTAATTTGGCACTGTCTCCTGCCCACCACTCGGCCCCGCCACATTACTGTGGAATTTCCGCTGTTATTCAAAACGACCCGATGCACGTGTGTGCAATGAGATACTCGACATTGGCTGCACATGTAATGATGGCTGATCGAGGATAAACGACGTGATGAAGCATAATTCAGTTAGCGCGTTACATTGTACATAATCTCGCAAGAAATGTCAGGGGATGCCTTGGCGGTGTTGAATTTACACAAATACCTAGATAATTGTGGTGAGTTATTACTCGACCGAGAAAGGCGTAGAAGATCCATTGCGTTTTATAAATTCAACAGGCCGATGCGCACAATCTCCTTCATAATTGGTAAAAATAAATCGTGACAAGCGACAGTCGTAGTGCGATTGTGGTCATGCAACCCAAACTACGGACCATGGAGTAACCCCACTGTCGTCAGCGCTCCTTCTATGATGGAGGAGGAACAGCAAAACGACACGAACTCTCTCTCTCGCTCTCTCGCTCTCTCTGCTGAAGCCCTCTCGTCGTGGCGGCCAGCAGCAGGGCCCTCCACATTGGGCATCTCGATCCTGAACCCATCCGCCATCATACGCAAGAAGGAGACAGAGATGAATAGAGACCCATAGCAACTCACAGAGATACGTAGAGACCCATACGTACGCGTCGAGATTCGTGATAGACAGGGCCATAGTGGGATTGTGGCTATGCAACCCAAACTATGACCCGCTTACTCGCGCTTAGTAAACCCACTGTGGCCTGTGCCACGTCAACTTCTCCTGAAGCCCTTTCGCCGTGGCCAGCAGCAGCAGCAGCAGCAGGACCTCCACACATTGGCATCGAGCTCGTGCACGTATTTCCGCTGTACACAATAGCAGATGTCTACTGGACATTGCGACACGACTGGACACATCTGTGAAAAGGATCTTCGAAGCCCATCGGATTCCTACAATCTTGGTGAAGATTCTGATTCTGTAGAATGAGCTCAAGTCGCACGCGACAACGTGAATATAAACACAACGTACGGTGGTGTCGTCCGATTTCATGCAATTTTTCTTGCGCACCAACGGGATCCCAGTTGACCATGGATAGGAGATGTTAACTTCATCACCTGGTATACAGGGGGTCGTGGGTTCGATCCCGACCTTGATGCCTGTATAATGTGCACGTTCTCCCTATGGTCGCGTGTATTTTTTCTCCGGGTCCTCCGGTGTTTCCCTCCACGTTTAGAATCAACGTCACGCATTTAGAGTATTTGGCTGCTATACATTTCCACACGATGACAAGCCACTTCGTTGAGCTGTCATTGGTGATAGCCAGGTCGCTTCTGAAAACGAAGCTAACAGCTCAGTGGGCTTTACCTTGTAAAATAAAAAAAGTTTCGTTTATTGGTATATTTTTGTGTGATTTGCTTACCTTTCCAATAATATGCACTCCATGTTTTAGTATTGTGTGTTATTAAAACGTTCTTATCCGCCCCTACTGGCCGACTGTAAAACAGAGCTTCATAGCTCATCGGATCCGTCCAGTGCAAATATTCTGCTTCCGAAAGAGTCATTTTTTTCCGTTACTCGATACGCGATCTGTGTAAAGGATCTGTGCCCTGGATCCATTTGAGAGCGCGTCCCTCTGCGGTTGAGTGGCTCTCGACGCTGAGCGCGCGTTGCTTTCAAAAACGTAAGCCTGGATTATCAGAGATCTCGTTCTGACCGAAAGGCAATTGTTCAAAGAGAAACAACACGTGGCGTACCCTTCAAGCGCTTCCTGGGCAGACACGACTCCCAGCGGTGACCCAGTGGCGTCTGATTGTAACTAAATAAAGAGGCTTTAAAATAACCCCGCCTTCTTGTATTTATGTTTTACAGACAGCCCGTCCCTGTTCACATACGAGTACAGTAGTCACCCTATGTATGTTTAATGTTTATGTAATTTAATTTGCGCTATGATCCGTCCAACGAAATATCTGCCCGAGACAACATAAGCTTCGGGGAATTCATCACTTACCGTTGATTTATGTTAGTGCAATATATTCAATGTTGTCACGTCACGCAGTTGTTATTTGCCATGATTTATATTTGCTTCAATGCCATACTTTATAAAACCAAAATTTTCTTCATTTCACGGTTTTGTCATTTTGCTGACCCGGGATCACTCTTGCAAATGAAGCTTCGTCGTGGTCGCCTCTCGACTTCTCACCTGGGTTTACACACGAAAAATAAAACGAATTTTAAACTTTAATAAACGACTCCACGTACATGTCCTTCCACGCACCTTCGGCCGCGTGGCCTTTTGGACGCGCATCATTTCACCGGCGTTGATTCAATGTCGAATAAGCAAACTCCGGATGGGTTTTCGACAATAACAGTGGCTCATCAGTTGAGTTAGGCTGCCTTGAACCAACGATGGTGAACTGCCAGAGAGATATATTGCAGGCATAAAGCCCTCTTTTAATTTCAGAGAAAGCCCCTCTGAATGTAAAGACAGCACTCTGCCATCAGAGGAGTTCAATAGTTCACTTCCTCAGCGCTGGCTGGGGCTCCCCCCAATATGTGTGGTGGGGTAAAGTGTGGGGGTACACCCACCCTTTGCAAAACGTCTGGTCAATGTGGCAGAGGCCTTGCCGACAACGGTGACTTGAGCAAGCAACAAGTATAACCCGTAAAAACAAAAAATGTTCACTATAAATCCTTTATATGCGTGGCGGCTAGAGTCCTCTCGTCCTCTGGCTTGAGATGGCTGCCACCTATGGGTCAGATGATTGCATTGCACCATTAAGCAATTGGTAATTAAATATAATATTTTTGTCCTAAAAAGTGTAAAATTTTGGAAAAAAAATTTCACGAACATTGATTGTCACGCACAACGAGTCTGTGTGGAAAATGTCAGCTCGATTGGATCACGGAAAGTGGGTTAAAAAACGACCGAAAGATTTGCACTGTCGTAAGCAAGCAAGCAAGCAAGCGCGCAAGTGAACTTAATATAAAGGATTTAAAATGGGCAATCACGGTGGCTAGGAGATGTGAACTACCTCGCCGGGTATACAGGATGTCGTTGCTTCGATCCCAACCCTGGAGTTTGCATGTTCTCCCCGTGGTCGTGTTGATTTTTCTCCGGGTCCTCCGGTTTTCCCCTCCACGTTTAGAATTACCGTGCGTTTCGAGTATGTGGCTGCTGCTGCAAAATGTCCACGTGATGATGAGCCACTTCGTTGAGTGATCG